TTTTGACCATCGATCTGGCAGTTAACGGCCATCAATCTGGTCGTTGACAGCTAGATCTGTCACGATCTGGCCATTTTAGGACAAATATCTAGCCGAAAATGGCCATATTAGTGCACAACAACCATTTTCGGCCTTCCATGAGCCATTACGACGGTGGCGGCGGCTGGCCGCAACAGTGGTTGCCAGCGGCAGATGGGTGGGGGTGGTGGCTTGGGTGGGCTGCAATTTGTTTTGAATTCAAGGGTAATTTTGTCAAAAAAGTTAATTAATTGGGGTGAAATAGTAAAAGCCATATTCATGTAAATAAATTTAAAAATAACGGCATTATTGTCCTAAAATTTTATTATTAAAGGATATAATTGTAACAGAAAAAAGATTACCCTGGTAATCTTAAAATACCTAAAAAAATGGAGGTAATCATATTACCTCCAATATTACTAACAGTAACTACTATTGGTATTTAAAGATTACCGGAATCTTATATTACTTAACAACAAAACATGGTAATCAAGTAATATAAGATGACATAACTCCAGTAATCCCACATTACCTCTAACCAAACGCCCTCTTAGGGTCCACTTGGGAGTTTCATGGTAGCGATTATGGAGGTAAATTACCGTAACGGTTTTAAGGGTAAACCACCGTAGTGGTTTTTAGGGGTTTTTTTTTGTACGGGTTTTAAAACACCCATCCTGTGCTTGGGAGATTATTTTCCAACGATTCTGACAGTTTTTTATAATTATAAATTTATATATATGCCCATAAAAATATCTAACTTCAACCAACACTTGGGAGTTTTGTTTTTTCAATTGCAAGGTAAAGGTTCTTTATTTGTTTTCTACTTATTAGTATTTTATAACATCAAATGTGATAAACTCTCATTATCTTTCTTCGCCATTCTTTACAGCATGTGGAATTATTAAAAATTGTAGCTCCACTTCTACGAGAAAGCATTTAGAAATGAGATTTTAATAATTTTTTTTAATGATTGCTTAAAATTATTTATATTTAATATGGTTGGAGATGCGCATTATATGATTAATTTTTTTTTGGATATAATTGGGATAGTTTTGTAGTGGATAGGGTATTTGTGGAATAAAATTTTAAACCAGCCAAAACACCCTGATTTAGGATGTTTTATAAACCCCTCAGAAATACATTGCATTGGTTTTGGAGGGTTTTTGAGTTAGTCAAAACTAGTAAATAAAAAATTTGACTAATAACGATTTTAAAACACCTCAAAACTAATCTAATAAAAAGAAAACTCTCAAACATATCTTTAGTATGCCAACTTTTGTGACTAGGTTTGGACTCGACGTAAATGGGTTGAGTATAATTCGGCTTGGGTTTAAATTGTTAGACCCGGTTTAACTCGAGTAAACAAAACTCAATATTCAAGTTTAACAATAATGAATAGGGGTGTTCGGTTCCGGGTACCCTGCATTTTATGAAGGAACCGAAATCGACAGTTCCTTGAAATTTGGAACCGGAACCAGAACTGACGGTTTCAGTTCCTAGGTACCCAAAATCGAAACTTGTAACAACGGTTCCGGTTCCCGTTCTAGGTACCCTATAAAATTCATTACCCCCCAAAAGTTTTTAATGGCAAAAAAACCCTCAAAAACTTACAAATACCCCCCACCTTGGCACTTGTTAACAAAAATAAAATTACAAATTATAAATTCAAAATTCAAAATTACAAACTCCATTACTTTATAAAGGTAGATTCTCAAAAGTCAAACCAAATTACTTTAAATGTTATAAAATATAAATATAAATGTATTCACATTACTTTTTCTACAAAAGTTTTTATTAACCCCCCCACTCTTTAATTTTATTTTATATTAGTCTTGGTTCTCGGTTCCGGTTCCTAACTATAGGAATCAGAATCGCATAATAATGGTTCCAAAAATTTAGAACCGGAACCTACCCGTTGACGGTCGGTTTCGGGTAGGAACTAGAACCAAACCTCAAGTACCCGCTAGTTTCGGTTCCAATCGATTCTTTTGAACACTCCTAATAATGAGAGGTGATTACAAATTGATTCAAACATGCCCGATAAAAATAAATAAATAATGAGTCCTAGTCAAAACGAAACGCAGATGTCAACTCAACAATAATGCAAAAGTAAAATAATGCAAAAGTAGGAACATATTTTATCCCAAACTACCCTAATAATAATAAAAAATTTCGATAATCTTCTCATACTAATAATAATAATTGTAAATTATATAAGAAATAATCTAAATATCACCCATTTCTTTACTATATTAAGATTACTTAATGATATTAATTTTGTTATAATTTTATCATTAATTAATAACATTATTAATAATATAATATAGTAATATTATTAATAAGATAATAATAATGTTATTAATAATATAATAGTAATTGATGTTATAATATAATAATATTATCAATAATTTAAAATAATAATTATATTATAATACAAGATAATAGATTATATTAATACTATTCAAAGACAATGAAAATTTAGTAAACAACTTCCTTCATAATTCTTTTATTCTTCCAACAAACATAATAATTATTTATATTTACTAATTTATTCCAATCTCACTCTAAGTATTTAATATAATATTTCTAATAATCTATAAATAATTTATTTTCCCATTTATATAACATTTGCAGATATACAAAATTTTTTGAACCAAGCACCTCTATTATATTATAATGCACAAGTATAAAACTGAAGGGTAATTTAGAACTTTCAGAAACTAATGAATAGACATTGAGTTAAGAAAATATCTGTCATTCATGAGAAGAGAGTAATATTTATTATTTAGCATGCCCCTACCATCCTACAAACTTTCCTGAGTTCCTCTACGGTGCTTAAATTACACATAAATGCAATTATGCAAATTATCTTCTATTGGAATTGGATTCTTTGCTAGTAGGCAAACAATCAAGTAATTGGTCAAATTACAATCCTAACCCTGTTACATCATTAGAGTATTATACCGATTATAATTAAAAAACAATTAATATTTATTGTTTGTTTATTATACACTATATTAGAGTTAACACTGTTATATACTTGATTACAAATGTAATTTTTACACAAAAAATTCCAATATTTTAGGATCGTTATAGTTACTGTAGTCGTTCACCAGAGACTTAATCACTAGCTTTCATCATCAATCATTTATAGAAACCTCAATAAGTTGATTTTTTTGTCATCGATTCATCAACTTTTTTAACCTTTGAACACTCGTCAAACTTCACTTATGGACATAAGCCTCTATTTTTATTTTTATTTTTTGAAAAAATATGATACTATATCAGAATAAATGTTATTATAGGAGATGGATATATCATATCATTCGTACGTTAATATATATGTAACAAGTTTCTACAGAATGAGTATACAAATGATATGAATATATTTTTATTCCCCCATACTTTCTCCTATATCAATTAGGGCATACCGAAATATCATTTTGACAGTAGAAACCATCACAACTTTGGTTAAAAAGCCTTTCTAGAACTTGTATCCTCTTTTATTATGTTGCATCTAATAAGATTCACAAATTTTATGAGGGTTTATGACAATTTCTTCCTCAAGGTTTGTTTATTCTTTTTTTTTTTTTTAGTATGTAATTTAATTAAATTTAGTTTTTTTTTTTTAGTTTATTGTATAAAATTGAAAAATAATTGAACTATTCATATATTTATTTTAATTATAATTTATTACATAAATTGGTTAATAAATATTTATATTTATATAAATAAAATAAAATAAAAATTGAAGAAATAAAAACTTAAAAGAATATAGAATTAGATAAAGGATGCTATGAAAGTAATCAATTGTTTTAATACATTTATTGCTTTGTAAATCTCTTGGGTGTATTTGTTACTTTCCTCCAATCTTGAGGAGGAAATTGTTATAAACTCAAATTTATGATAATGTTAAATGACTTAATATACATAATTTAGTAACCTAAATAATATAAACATTAATTGTGAAGTCATATCTTATTATTATTATTATTATTATTATTATTTTGTTGACTAGGGTGTACTGGCAAGCTTACATATACCCCGACTAATTTCTTGGGACTTTGAAGTTAATGATCAAGTAAACCCTCCAGTAACCACACCTATTAGTAACTGTCCCTATTAGTAACTAAGGATAATCGAACTCAATGTCTCTTGAGTAATACACCCAAGAGTCCATATCGTCTTGTTAGGTTAGCTCGTTTCAATTGCACAACTAATTTGATGTTGAAACTCACCAACCATCGAGAAAATCACAATTTCATCTCTAAGGTTTAGGCTAAGTAACACTTTAGTCATGTAGAATTTGTAAAAACATTTTGGTCCATGTCAGTGTTAGTGTCACTGGGAAACCTCAAGTACCAAAATGTTACTAACAAAGATCAAAACGTTACTAAGAAATTTTATAAAACAAAAATGTTACTTAAACCAAACCTCAGGGACGAAATTGTTATTATGCCCAACCATCTAATTTAGCCACACAGTTTTATTTGCTTATCTTATTTATATCTCTCCTTATAATGATAGGATGCTTGTTTAAATACAGTAGACTTTCCATTTAAGAGCAAGCATGCACTTAATGGAGGATTGTTTCAACAACAAAAGCAATCCTTCCGGAAATTTGGTGGGAAAAACATTTTCAACAAACTACCGAGTCATAATATAAAATCAGAGTTTAAAATTAAAGATAATTTAAACAAAATTACAGTGGATGACATGGGAATCATACAGAATTTCCGTATCAATTTGTATGAACTAATGGTTCATACGGGGATAATGTATCTTGCTCTCAGTACCGTATTGTTCCAGGCATGTTAGACATGCATTAAATATAAAGTAAATACAATGTTGTCACATCACGTAATGCTTTTGAGCTGTGTTAGATTAACAAAGGTTATATAATTTGTAAACTGAAGTCGGCCATTGTTGGTGAAGATGAAGAATCAGTAGTATATCAAGCTGAAATATAATATATCGTTGTGTCAAACGTTACATAATTTAGCAATTGAAAATAGATTCAGAATTGAAGTTAAGTTGAGTTTAAACTTTATAATTCTACTCCTCTCCAGAGGCTCTAGCCACATTATCATTTCTTAAGACGATAAGTAGGAATAGCCAAGAGATGCTTGGCTCTAGGAGTCACAAGACCAAACTCCTCACTCATTTCCAATTCACTCGGCAGCATCCCATTTGGAAGATCCCAATCAAAGCAATGCACAAGTTGTGCTACCACTTGCCTCACCACAGTGAGTGCCAATTGCATTCCAGCGCAGCCTCTGCGGCCAGCACCGAATGGGAGAAGCTGAAAGTCGCAGCCACGAAGATGGATTTTATTCCCAACAAACCTTTCTGGGAAAAACTTCTTAGGATCAGTCCAAGCTTCAAGATCTCTTCCAATTGCCCATACGTTTATAAAAATGCGTGATTTTTTGGGTATGTGGAAGCCGTTTACCGTGCAATCTTCCACGGATTCATGCGGAAGTAACAAAGGAACTACAGGATGTAGCCTCGAGGTCTCTTTCACATCCATGTCTAAGTATTCCAGTTTCTCCAAATCTGATTCTTCTACCATCCTGTCAAGTCCCACAACATTTTCCAACTCTTTTTGCACTTTCTTCATAATCTCAGGATGCTTGATGAGTTCTGAAAGCGTCCACCCAATAGTGCTTCCTGAAGTGTTAGTTCCAGCTATAAGCATATCCTGATCACATTCACATCAAGAAAAAGAAGATAGTTTTAAGATTGTGTGGTATAATCGGATATGAAGATTAGAAACATTTAATAGAAATTCAAGAACAATAAAAGTAATTGGAAACAAAAGAAAATTTAAAACTTTAAATTTGGCAATTAGATTTCACGTCTAACAATTATAGGATTGCTTACCACGAGTATGGCTTTAATGTGGTGTCGCTCAATTTTGGATGTATGCAATAGAAAACAAGGTTTTTTTTTATACATGCTAACCAGTATGGAAAAGCTTCAAAAGAACATCTCTTCTTATGGTCGGATGATAAACCTTTAGTCATTAGGGTTAGTTATATTCAGAGAGTTTTGTGTTCGAGTCGCAAGAGAGATACGTATCATATTTATACAATTACCTTAGTCCATTGGGCCTTGAGGATTAGGCAGACCCTATGTAGGCCTAGATACCTCAAATACCTAAAAAAAAAAGCTTTAGAATCCTGAACTAGAGGTGTTCAAAGAACTGGTTGAAACCGGAAACGGTGGGTGACCCTGGGTTTGGTTCCGGTTCCTACCCAGGAACCGTCGTCGATGGATAGGTTCCGGTTCCAAATTTTTGGAACAGTTACTGTGCGGTTCCAGTTCCTATAGTTAGGAACCGGAACCAGGAACCGAGACTAATATAAAATAATAAAGATTATGGGGGTAATAAAACTTTTGCAGAAAAAAGTTATGTGAATACAATTTATATTTATATTCATAAATTTAAGTAAGTTGGTTTGATTTTGAGAATCTACATTTACAAAGTAATGGAGTTTGTAATTTTGAATTTTGAATTTATAATTTGTAATTTTATTTTTAACAAGTGCCAGGTGGGGGGTATTTGTAATGTTTTAAGGGTTTTTTTGTCATTTTAAAAACTTTTTGGGGGTCATGTAATTTATAGGGTACCCAGAAACAGAACCGGAACCGTTGTTACAGGTTCTGGGTCTGGGTACCTAGGAACCGGAACCGTCGGTTTCGGTTCTGGTTCCAAATTTCAAGGAACCGTCGGTTCGATTCCGGTCCCTTCAAAAAGTATAGGGTACCCAGAACCGAACACCCTACCTAGAACACATCGAATTGAGTTATGACTTCTTGTCCCACATATATTAATTACGAAGGAAAATCTACTAATAAAACTAGCTTTAATGAATATATAAGTCTATTTTTTTCCCCAAGAATAATTTAATATTCACGAGAGAAGTAAAGAGATAAGTAGGAATAGCCAAGAGATGTTTGGCTCTACGCGTCACAAGACTAAACTCCTTAGTCATGTCCATTCACTCGGCATCATCCCATTTGAAGCAATGCACAAGTTGTGCTACCCCTTGCCTGACCACAGTGTGTCCCAACTGCGATCCAGGGCAGCCTCTGCGTCAGAACCGATGGTAGAAACTAAAGTCATGGCCGCGAAGATCAATTCTACTTCCAAACAACCTTTCTGGCAAAAAACTCCCGTATCAGTCCAAGCTTCAGGATCTTTCCAATTGCCCATACATTTATAAAAATGCGTGATTTTTTCGTAAGGAACTAACAAGGGAATTACAGGATGGAGCCTCAAGGTTCTTCACAACCATGTCTAAGTATTCCAGGTTCTCCAAATCTGATTCTTCAACCATCCTGTCAGTCCCACAACACTTTCCAACTCTTTGCACTTCCTTCAAAATGCAGGATGCTTGATAAGTTCCGAAGCGCCGCTCAATAGCGCTTGCGCTTGCTAAACTGTCACTTGCACCTAAAAACATATCCTGATCACATTATGCAGAAATATTCAGAAGATTATCTTTAGATTTAGAAGCTAACAAATCAAATTAAATAAATATATTATTTTTCAGTTCGGTAGTTGGATTTGCTTAGATGAAAATACAAGCACCTGCTGTGGAATATTTTTTTTTTTTTTTTTTTAAATTCTGTGGGTTCTTGTGAGAGTCATGTAAAGACAAAGTAGAGACTTTGGATTCCATGTGAAAAAATTGAAAGTTCTTGAAGCCACAAAGAAATTAATTAAAATTGAAATATGTAGAGTTATATAATTAAATTAGAGAACAGAAGATTGATATAACTGCAAATTAATAAATAATAAAATTAAGATAAGTGATTCTGGAATTTGATCGCCATCCAAGGGGATATTTAGATGAGCTGAACATTTTTTTTTTTTTTTTAATAAATGTTACCAAATCTGAAGACGGAAACCCAGATGAATCTATTCTCCTGTATATTTGTCTTCAGTTAGTGGCTTATATTCTATAATAAAATAATAGACTTCCAATTCCAAATGGTTAGGTTACGTTTGGTTAGATTTGCCGTTGAAAGTTATACAATTTAAAAACTTTTTTATTTGATGACATTATATATTAAAGACGCATTTTTTAACCCGAAGATTGTATTAAAATAAGATGAGTAATAGAAAATAGTAAGTCAATAAATTTTTACAATTATCACCATGGGTGGTCAATTAAAACCCTTAAATGTATTATTAAAAAAATTTAAATTAGATTCACATCGATCCTTAATAGGAGTTAATAGGAGTAAATAGCAGAGATTTATCTGTATTTAACTTTAAAACATTAAAGGTTAATTGAAGTTACGTAAGTTAATAAAAACTATAATCATTAAATTTTCAATGAGATGGAAAGATTGGATGTGACCCACCAAGATGGATGTTTTCGCCTTATCCAATAATGATGAAACGTTAATGCTATTTTTTTTTTTTTTTATGAATTTGATAGATAAGGTCAACAAAGTAGTCTAGTAGTTTGGCAGAAAAGCATTTTTTTTTTTTTTTTTAGAAAATCATGGAGTTTATGCATGGGAAACATGATAGCTAACTAAGCGGAACTAATCAACACAATGGTCGGTCTAAAAATGGTCAAGGTTCTCCTTTTATCCCACACACAGTACACCACACAATTCTAACACCATCTAAAAGGGCTAGTGAATATTAAACAACCACATAAATAGAGAATATGAATATAAAAGAAGAACATGTACATAAAAAAGAACATAAACATAAACATAAATGAAAACATAAATATTAAACATGTTAAAGAACATAAATTAAAACATATTGAGATCTTTTGCTATCTATAACATTTTCAGAGTATTACAACACCCTTGAGGTTGAGAGAAACTTAGAAATATGAAAGAAACATGGAAGAATGGAAGTGAAGATGTGTAGAGAAAGTATGGAAGCGTAGAGAAAATATGGAAAAGAAAGTGAGAGAAATAAACAAAAGTGTTTGCAAAGTTTTACAACAAAGTTCCTCCTCCTCCCGGGAAGGGGAAAGCTTTATATAGATACCAAGGAGACGAGCTCATCAATGAGACATTAATACAAGACTAACCTTTTTTACTTTTGTTTTTTTTTTTTGTTTTTTTTTTTTTTTTTCATAAGTAGCCTACAATTGTTGACAAAGCTAAAGCTTACGAACCTTGACTTTTTTACAATGGCTACGGGAGATATACAATGAAAAGGCAAATTGCCATTTAGTCCACTCCTATTTTCCATAAAGGACACCACCATTTATATAAGACACGCAGATCTTTAATCATCTGACAAGTTGGTAAAGTGCCACGATTCTTCATCCTGGAAGTCGAGACAAACATTGATTGAATCCAGTCAGAGGATTTGTCGGGGAGATGTATCTGGATGAGTATCGAAGAATGTCTGGAACTGAGATGTTGGCGTGGCAGATGTACGTGGTGCATTCATGTATTGTTGTCGCCTGGATTATGGAGAAGTAATCACGAGACTGCTGAGGCTCTTCTTCCTGCACAGTATCAGGCTGTGAGTCCGGGTACCACCATTGTGGATAGATGAAGTCATCGGTTGGGCATTGATGGAACGTATGATGGTTGGCGTGGAGCAATTTCTCAGTGTAGTCGGAGGAAAGAGTTCCCACGGGCATCACGTGAAAGGATGGCCATAGTGCATTTGGAATGATTGATTTTTTTCAAAAAGGATTTTTTGAATTGATCTAGTCTCAACAGGTGATCAAACATATTATGACAAGATCGTAGTATGGTAAGACACGATGAAATGTGACTTGATGGTGAGGAAAATATGGCCATAGAGCGGATAGAGTGATGTCTGTGAAAAATATTTAGACCATGCCATTTTGGTAGACATAGGACCTTTGTATCGGGCAAGTTGATGAGCAAACACAAATTTCCATTTGTCGAGGGTTTTGAACCATCGGAGAAAAGTCATCAAAGTGTGCAATTCAGGGGTTGAGGTGACTGGTATTGGGAAATTATTTTTAACATATGATGGATCGGGAATGAACAACAATGTGGTATTGATGTAACATATACCAAAAGAACCATAATAATTCTTCTGGAAATATGATATCAAGACCTAGAGGTAAACAAAGATTTGAAAAAGGGTAATCTGGATGGACCCCTAACATATCATACATGGATTGACCACATTTTCAATGCATTGAAGTTGGTAAGAAAACATGAGAGTGGTAGCATTTTCATCAATGGTACGAGTTCGAACAAGGTCATCAAATTCAGGAGGTACATCGGGAGGACGGTTTGGTGAGAGGATGATGAACAGGAAATGGACTGGGTTAATGGTTGGAACATAAAACATGGAAGAGGTTTGGATCTAGGGTTCAGGAAACCAACTTG